TAAAACAATAATTGAAGATAGAAGCAGTTGGAAGATGGGGAGAGGAATAACACCCGATGAAAACGACATCTTTAAAACAAACTCACAAGATAATGAAGGTGTTGATACAGTGACCACCGGGTGGGGATCACGAAAGCCTACACCAGAAGAGAGATTAGAAAAAGTGGAGGAGGATGTTGAAAGGATAGACAAAGATGTAAATATTTTGAAGAATAATTTAAATATTATGGATTAAAATATAGTCTATATTGACAGGCCATCTTGGCATAAAAAAAAAACGTCCCCAATGAATACAGAAGAAGGAAGTGAGCCAATGCCCCCGAGTGCCTAGCAAGTCTACAGGTTCATAAGCAAACCATAAGAGTTTGGTAATGACATTAATTCGTAATTAGTTTCGTTAAATCTGAAGGAACCGGTTGCATGTAGAGCAATCGCGAGAGGAGCTAAGTCTCTCCCGGTGCAAATTTTCATAATATCGCATTATGAAAAAGTGTATATAATAATGATAATGCCAGTAAGAGTAGATAGGATATTAGTTGATTTTGAACCATATACTGAAACAAATAATATTAATACTAGGATGTGTTATCGTTGTAAGCAAGTCAAATCCATTGATTATTTCAAGCGTTGCTATTGTGTTGGTAAGCATTCTTATTGTTATGTTAAATACATTGCGACTTGTTCTGAATGCTTGGACAAGTCTGTCAAATAAACCGCAATGCAGTAAATCTTAGGAAAATAATAATTCTGAGGAAAATGACTTAAAGAAATAACACCTACATATATTAACAGGGAAATGTTCAAGTTTGAAAATTGTTGGAAGTGAGAAGAAACCAACAAAGTAAGGGTGTTAAATAGCAAATTGCCGATTGATATATGTAATCGTGTATGTGAATATGACAAGTGCGATAAGTGTAGAAATAAGATTTTTAGAAATGGAAGGCTTTGATAAAAACCTCGAACTTTCAAAGTTAAACAACGTGCAAAAAATAATATTACACTTGCTATATCGTAACCACGACATTGATACAATCATGGATAGGCGAAAATACAAAAACATCATCAGAAGGTCAAATAACCCACTGCGAAAGATAATGAAGCAGTTTATGAATATCACAAACCATTCAGACTGCGAACGTCTTATGTTTCACGGTGTATGTCACGTGATGCTATTGTATTGTGTCATTCGCAATTTAACCGATATAGAAGAGCTTAAAAAGGAAATCGCATATTACAAGATTAAAACCGCTACTATAAGATTTAACGGCTTTGAAATTAGTAAGGAAGTTATAGTAAAGGAAATACTACGAGAATGTTTTGATTTTTGGTTGGTCGGTTGGAGAGAATATTATAATACAACCACTGAAGAGATTATGGAATATGTAGATTATGTATTTTCATTAGTATAGAAACAACTATAACACTATTATTAGCATGGTTATAGTTATAATGTAATTATAATACATAAGCAGTTATATATTATAATTACAATGTAGTTAAAATCCTTAACCCCAAACCCTGAACCAAATCCTACGAGACCCCCCTTGCCCCTTTTGAGTAATAATGCCACCTTAGAGATAATAGATGGGGTTATAGTTATTCCTAGAATTGTATTGATAATGGGGTAGTAGTAGTGATATATCGGTGAAGTGTAGGGGGGATCCTAGGAATGATCATCTAATGGGGGTAGTAGTAGTGATATAATGGTGAAATGTAGGGGGGACCCTAGGAATGATCATCTAATGGGTTAGCGGTGGCATTATTACCCAAACTGGGCAAGGTCTACTCTGACTGACTGATTTTGGGATCATTGTAATATGGATCCTACCATTTAGGGTACTATATTAGGGTCCCTATTTTCGGAACCCCCCATATGTTGCGGCCCGCTTTTGCTCAGAGAGGCCACCGACCCGAGACCTTGCGTCCTCGTAGCCGTAACCTAAGATTCACCCTTAGAGTAGCCAGAGAGCCCAATACCCCTTAATTAAGGAATATGGCTTAAATTATATAGGGCTTCATATTATGGTTTAAGGTATATTCCTTAATTGAGGGGTACCGGGTATTGGGCCTTGGGCTCTCTGGGTAGCCCTTCTTCTGGTAGCCCTGTTGGCTCACTTTGAAGGGAAGCCTAGAGCCCTAAACCCCAAACCTCGGAAGGGGCCCCCACCCTATAATAGTGACTATAAGGATTATATTAGGGCCCCTACTATATTCCTATTATACCACTATTACAGGGTGGGGGCTCCTTCTAACCGCAAAACCTACAAACCCTTAAACCCTATCAACCCCCTAAACCCAAAAACCCCAAACCCTTAAACCCTTAAGCCCTGAACCAACTTGAACCCCTAACCCAACACCTGTTTTGATCAACTTCATAGTCTCCTACACCCCCTCCCCCCTACACCCCTAAGGATCCCTATGATTCTAACCCCAAAACCCCTCTTTTGATCAACTTTTAACGCCAGTTTTCGAGGCGGGAGTTCTGCGAAATCTTGCCGTGGGGTCCTCGGAGGGTGTGTCTTCTTTGAGGGGGGGGGGGGGGGGGGGGGGGGGGGGGGGGGGGGGGGGTACTTGGAGGGTCGGGGGACTTAGGAAGTAGGTAGTAAGTAGACTTATAAGTACCCTAAAAGGGAACCTAATTGGGGTTATGGTACTTATAAGTCCCGAAAATCACCAGTTACTAAGTCCCCCGATCTCCTCGCTGGAACGTGTGAGGGTTGTGCTGAGACCCGAAGCTCTGTTAAGCCCCTGCAATACAACGATGCCGGATGTAGCTCCAAGCAACCCACAGGCTTCCCAGAGAGCCCAATACCCCTTAATTAAGGAATATGGCTTAAATTGTATAGGGCTTCATATTATGATTTAAGCCATATTCCTTAATTAAGGGGTATTGGGCTCTCTGGGTTTCTTATGCAGGTACTTCCCTAAAGCATTGAGAGGGCTTCTTTGGGTACTGCCCCCCACTCAGTAACAGTTGGATAATATTAACAATATAGATATATATTTAGGACCTTAATAGTAGCCCTATTGTAGACTGTTACTGTATGGGGGGGCAGTACCCAAGGGCTTCCGATGTGAGGAGCATCCCTTAGTGAGTCGCGGGAGCTCAAAAATCCAAACTACAACCCGACGCCATGAGCCCGATATCCATATGGGGGTTTCCGAAAATAGGGGACCCTAATATAGCACCTTAAAATGGTCGGATTCTTATGATAAGGATCCCAAAGAAGGTACCCCTAATTTTCGGAAGCTCCCATACCCTAAACCCGAAAAACCCCTTGAAGAAGCCCGAAGTTGAAAACCTGAGTCCCCGAAGAGGAGCCCCTCGCAGCCCCCAAAAGCCGTACACCTATAAATCCCACACCTTGGACCCTAAACCCTAAACCCTGAACCCAAACCCTAAACCCTGAATCCTGAACCCTGAACACCAAACCCTAACTGCCGTAACTAAACCCTAAACCCTAAGCCCCAAACCCTAACTATACTACCCTTATAGACCCCTTATAAAACCCTAAACCCCAAACCCTAAACCCTACACCCTAAACCCTTTAAGGATACCTTTACAGGAATCCTAACCAAAAGCCTGCTGAAAGCCCAGCCGCAGCCTCAGAGGCTCCTTCCTCCGCAGCTGCCTGAGACGCCCTCCCAGGAAGAGGTGAGCCAAGAGGCCTGGCTGGAGGGTTTACTACTATTTGCTTAAGAAACCCACAAAAAATAAAAATAATAATCCCTATATTACCCCCATAAGGAATATATTTTTCATTTTTTGGGGGGGTTCTTAAGCAATTAGTAGTTTACGGGTGAGGATTTGGGGTTAAGGGGTTTGAGGGTTTAGGGGTTTAGGATTTTGGGTTAAGGGGTTTGGGGGTTTAGGATTTTGGGTTTAGGGGTTTGGGGGTGTAGGGGTGTAGGGGTTTAGGATTTAGGCTTTAGGGGTTTGGGGGTTTAGGGGTTTAGGATTTAGGCTTTAGGGGTTTAGGGGTTCAGGGGTTAGGGATTTAGGGTCTAGGAGTTTAGGATTTAGGATTTAGGGTTTCGGGGTTCAGGGGTTTTGAATTTAGGATTTAATTAGGGATTAGGGGTTTGGGATTTTTAGGGTTTGGGGGGGGCCGCGTGCTTAGTTTAGGGTCTAAGGGGTTTAGGAGTTTACGGGTCTTTCGTGCAGTCTGAAATGGTTGCGTCATAATGTCATAGCCCTATTCTAACAAGTGCGGCCCATATATCATTTACAGTAGTTTCATAATGCAGGGTTTTAAAGGGTCTAGCAGGGGGGCCTTACTTGGTGCAATTAGGGTGTTGGGGTCCTCTGAAGTGCGTGTGTGTGTGTGTGTACATATACACACATAATGGATTATATGTATACATGTACATAGGAATATGTATGTAGAAATAGATCTACAGAGATTCAAATAATAGATATACAGAGATACAGATATACACGTGTACAGGTATATAAATATGCAGAGACATAGGTGTATATACATGTGTATATATATATATATATTATATATATATGCAAAATTTATGCACAGAGACGTATTGATAGACCGACATAAAGTTTTTATAGAGTTTATAATCTAAAGATGTACCATAGGGGTATAATGTTGGAGGTCTTGGGTCAAAGGGGTTCTAGTGTTCAGGATGATCAATTGATCTTTTGTTTCGGAGTTCAACCTTCACCCAGACTTCTGACCGGTTGCGTGTTTTGGGCTTTAGGTTTGGTTCTTTTCCCTTTCTGATTATATATATATATATATATATTCGGAGTCGCAGTGTCCTAACCCTAAACCACGAGTACTTTCAGCAGACGTGATAGCTGTGACTGGGATGTCTTGGCAAAGGGCCAGAGCATGAGCAGGGGGTAAGGATGCAAGTCTCACTAAACCGTAAACCCAGGGTTTAGGTGGCACCTGTAAGAGGATTGGGTTTGGGTTTAGGACGCTAAGTGCCGATGCAGAGCGCAGCTTCGACTGCCACCTCTCTTCGGCTTGGCATCGGCCATGCTGCGGATTCAGACCGCCGGGTCGGCTGAAGAACTCGTTGCCATCGACTTGGCGACCTTTCTTGAGACGCAGCCTGCCGGCATGCATCCCGTCCGGGCACTGAAGCAACACTTGAACAGCATTTGTGGTTTACCAAGGTTCAGGCAAAGGCTGGTATTCCTGGATGACAAGGTGGTTGTAGATGACAATGGCACCCTGAGACCTGGCGAAGTTCAGGTCGTACTTCTAAGCTTCTGCCCACCATCGGACGCTCAAGTGACAGCACTTCAAAATGCAGCGAGACGTGGCCTGTCAGCAGAAGCGGAGACTCTCCTACAAAGGCCGCAAGACCCCGATTTGGGAGATCCGGCCCCTTTGTTCCTTGCATCCTTTCACGGCCAAACACAGGTTGCACGCCTTTTGCTGGAGGCCAATGCAGACACGGACCAGGCGGACACACAGTTTAGCGGCACCCCGTTGTGCATTGCGGCTCAGGAGGGGCAGCTGGAGGTTGCGCGCCTTTTGCTGGAGAGCAATGCAGACAAGGACAAGGCCACGCAGGATGGCGCCACCCCGTTGTGCATTGCGGCTCAGGAGGGGCAGCTGGAGGTTGCACGCTTTTTGCTGGAGGCCAATGCAGACAAGGACAAGGCCACGCAGGATGGCGCCACCCCTTTGTTCATCGCAGCTCAGGAAGGGCACATGGAGGTTGTGCGCCTTTTGCTGGAGAGCAATGCAGACAAGGACAAGGCCATGCAGCATGGCACCACCCCGTTGTTCATTGCGGCTCAGGAGGGGCAGCTGGAGGTTGCACGCCTTCTGCTGGAAAGCAATGCAGACAAGGACAAGGCCGTGCTGTGTGGCGCCACCCCGTTGTGCATTGCAGCTCGGGAGGGGCAGCTGGAGGTTGCACGCCTTTTGCTGGAGAGCAAGGCAGACAAAGACAAGGCCAAGCAGGATGACGCCACCCCGTTGTTCGTTGCAGCTGAGAAGGGGCAGCTGGAGATTGCCCGGCTTTTGCTGGAGGCCAATGCGGACAAGGACAAGGCCATGCAGGATTTCGCCACCCCTTTGTTCATCGCAGCTCAGGAAGGGCACATGGAGGTTGCGCGCCTTTTGCTGGAGAGCAATGCAGACAAGGACAAGGCCACGCAGGATGGCGCCACCCCGTTGTTCGTTGCAGCTCGGGAGGGGCAGCTGGAGGTTGCACGCCTTTTGCTGGAGAGCAAGGCAGACAAAGACAAGGCCAAGCAGGATGGCGCCACCCCGTTGTTCGTTGCAGCTCGGGAGGGGCAGCTGGAGGTTGCACGCCTTTTGCTGGAGAGCAAGGCAGACAAAGACACGGCCAAGCAGGATGGCGCCACCCCGTTGTTCGTTGCAGCTCGGGAGGGGCGGCTGGAGGTTGCACGCCTTTTGCTGGAGAGCAAGGCAGACAAAGACACGGCCAAGCAGGATGGCGCCACCCCGTTGTTCGTTGCAGCTCGGGAGGGGCAGCTGGAGGTTGCACGCTTTTTGCTGGAGAGCAATGCAGACAAGGACAAGGCCACGAAGGATGGCGGCACCCCGTTGTTCATTGCGGCTCAGGAGGGGCAGCTGGAGGTTGCACGCTTTTTGCTGGAGGCCAATGCAGACAAGGACAAGGCCACGCAGGATGGCGCCACCCCTTTGTTCATCGCAGCTCAGGAAGGGCACATGGAGGTTGCGCGCCTTTTGCTGGAGAGCAATGCAGACAAGGACAAGGCCAAGCAGGATGGCGCCACCCCGTTGTTCATTGCAGCTGAGACCGGGCAGCTGGAGGTTGCACGCTTTTTGCTGGAGGCCAATGCAGACAAGGACAAGGCCACGCAGGATGGCGCCACCCCTTTGTTCATCGCAGCTCAGGAAGGGCACATGGAGGTTGCGCGCCTTTTGCTGGAGAGCAATGCAGACAAGGACAAGGCCATGCAGGATGGCGCCACCCCGTTGTTCGTTGCAGCTCGGGAGGGGCAGCTGGAGGTTGCACGCCTTCTGCTGGAAAGCAATGCGGACAAAGACAAGGCCACGCAGCATGGCGCCACCCCGTTGTTCGTTGCAGCTGAGAAGGGGCAGCTGGAGGTTGCCCGGCTTTTGCTGGAGGCCAATGCGGACAAGGACAAGGCCATGCAGGATGGCACCACCCCATTGTTCACCGCAGCTCAGAGAGGATACCGGAAGATTGCAAGCCTTTTGCAGGAGTCGGGCATGGACAACGAGAAAGGAAGACAGTAGCGGTGATGTGGCATGGCAGTCGGAGGTTGTGCGCCTTTTGCTGGAATGCAATGCGGACAAGTACAAGGTCTTCGGTGCTGGTGCCACCCCTTTGGCCATGCATCTGGGCACAGGCATGTGGAGGTCGCTGCAAAAAACCGGCTGTTGTGAAGGCATCAAAGTTTACGTTGGATGTATATACAACCCCCTGCAAACCCCTCTATCACCATAAGACCATAATGAACATATATGAACCCGTAGCTACAGTCCTAAACAGGAAGCTCATGAGCCTTTGCAGAAACCGTCGAGGAAGCCCTAAACCCTAAACCCTTGAATCCTGAATGCCCCAAACCGTGAACCCGAACCCGGAGCATGGCAACCCGAAGCCCTAACCCAGAGAGCCCATATTCCTTAATTAAGGGGTATTGGGCTCTCTGGGAAATCCTGAACCCCTCAGCCCGGGAGGTATTCTTGGTATGCGTGAGCCTGAACTTTAAGGACGCTTCAGTTGGTGTCTCTTTTGGGTGGTGCTACTTGGAGGCCCTTTTGACTTAGTAAGTCTACTTAGTATCCCCTATAAACCCTATGAGAATCCCCATAACCCACCTTACTAACCCTACTTACTAAGTCAACAGGGCCTCCAAGTAGACCCCTGGCAGTCAAGACCCTACAAAACTCCCAGGCCCTACAAAACTCCCAGGCCCTACAAAACTCCCAGGCCCTACAAAACTCCCAGGCCCTACAGCCTGAAGACATGGAATCCCTGTACCCGAAGACTGCGAGACTATATCGACTGCGGGAGTATTTCATGCGGCAGTTCGGACATCCTCTTCATAAACCTTGAAGCCCATACCCTGGGCCCCAAACCGATATCTCCCAACACAAGAACGCTGAACGCTTAACCCTAAACCAAACCCTGTATCCTCCCTATGATGCTACACCACGACCACGACCATGAGGACGACGACCGTTGCTACTGCGACGACGACTACTGCTCCCTTGATAGCTACACCCCGCACCCTTGGTCATGTCGCTCTCTAGAAGCCACCAATCCCAGGGGCAGATGTTACCACACTGTCGTGATTTGCAGGTTTTCTTAGAGTCTCTAAAGCTATGTCCTGGATACTGCCTCCATTCCGTAACCGTTGAATGATATGTATAATATAGATATAAAATATTAGGCCCTTACTGTGAGCGCGATTATAGGATGTTTTTGCATGGCGGCAGAAATCCAAGCTACAGCCGTAAAGGAATCATCTTCTAACTATAACGGCCCTTGTATGACTTCTGCAAGCCGGATCTTTGACCTCACCCCGAACCCTAAACCCTATAGCCCTAAATCCTGAACCCTCAGCCCGGGGAGGTATTCTTGGATTGATCTTGGGGGAGCTAAGGAGCCAGGGATGATGAGAATCCCCATTAAATAAGGAGCTAAAGAGCCAAGGGGCCCTCAAAACCACTGGTTAGCTAAACCCTAAGCATCCCTCAGATGCTGCTGATGGAGCGCGTCACCAAGCTGAAAAAGCAGTTTGGGCGCGAGGCAGGGTCCGGGAACCCCCAAGAGGAATCGAGCAATAGATGGATGGTTATCAAAATTAGGGTCCCTGTTTGGGTACCCTAAATAATAGGTGCCGTATTATAATAGGAACCCAAAAAGGGACCATAATGTTGACAACCACCCATATGTTGATGTGTCATAAATCCGTAATGCATGCATCCGTTATATCCTCCTCCATAATTACACCATCACATGTTTGTGGTTAGTGAGCTTCATATAGCACTCAAAAGCCCCAAAACTCCCTAAAAACAGAAAATGCAGGAGACCCTGAACCCGTAAACCCTGATCCTCATTTTGAACATCCTTATATTAGGGACCCAAAAAGCACATAAGCATAAGCATTTTACCGGGATATCCCTACCTTATTGGGCTTCCTTTTAAGGGGGTTTATATGGGATATCCCTATCCTAATTTTTGCTTATGTGCTTTTTGGGGGCCCTATTATAGCACCCATCCCAAGCCCCTTTCGCAATCCTGAACCCTGAAGCTTTGTTGCAACCCGAAGTCATGGGAGGTCCATCAGAGAGCGATGGAGCTGGCGAAGGCAAGAACAAGAACCCCTAAGCCCTTAATGTCGGAATTGACTTTAAACTAGTAAATAGGGTCGCTTCAGGAGTACACACTATGATAGAGCGATCATTTTGGGAAGAAGCCTTCATCTGTTGCGGGATCAATTCAGGAAGATGCGTTAAACTACAGAAGGTATCAAAGTAGGAATGCACCCTTAACCAGTATCTAGAGGTCGGTCGCAAGAACTAGTACGTCAACGGAACAGTTCCCCCTTATCGTTCCTATACTGGTCGGTAAACACAGTCCAAACACAAAGCCCTAACCCATCAAACCCCTAAACCCCCTTAACCCCTAAACCCTAAGACCCTAAACCGTAACCCCTAACCCCCTAAACCCCTAAACCCTAGACCCTAAACCCTAAAACCTTAAACCCTAACCCCCCAAACCCTAAAACCTCCCAGGGCGCCGCTCCCTGCGAGACCGAGGAGGTGGGGGCCGCTCTAATGCAGGGCTGCGAGTACTAAGACTAGGGTTTTGGGGTAGACTTAGGGTTTAGGGGTTTTAGGGTAGGAGGTATATGCTTCAAGGTTTTGGGGTAGACTTTGGGTTTAGGAGTTTGGGGTTTGGGGGTATACTTTGGGTGTAGGGCTTTTGGGTATTGGCGTATACTTATATTATAGTAGTCAGTATAGTGAGACTATAATGAGAGTGGAATCATGTAGGGACGGAGAGGGGATTTTCTTACTGTTACTAATTGTTCAGATCTATATATTATGGTGTTTCATGGGGTTCGTTTGGGGTTCTTCCGGTGTCCCACTTGCATGCTATAGCCAATGCTGTGACCGGGGTTCTACAAACCTGAAGCGTAACCGCTAAACCCTAAACCCTACATTCCAAAACATTGCCCCTAAGACAAGAAACCCCCATACCCTAAACCCTAAACCCGAATCCTTAAACCCCAAACTGCTCGAGGCTCCGACCGAGGCACCCGGCCGAGCGTCCCGTCAGAACGGTGACTGTAGTGACGAATCCACTGCAAGGTTTACCTATAGTCCCCATTGTAGTTCCTTTTTTGGTTAACCAGAATCTCCATTATAGGATCCTAACCATAAAATTGGGTAACCAAAATAAGGACCTACAATGGAGACTATAGGTAGGGGTTTTCAGGGGGTACCGCCAGAAAACTCTGGAGCTGGTCTGGGCGATTTTGGACTTGCGGGGGAGGCCCCTCAGAGAGCAGGGCGGGGGGAGGGGGGGGGGTACAGATCCTGCCAAATTTCCGAACTTTGCGCCAACTTACGTCAATTTGGGCCCAAAATGAGCGTCTACACTTCGAGCGACCCTGCAGGGTGCCAGGGCGGGTTGACCCACAACCCGAGCCCTAAACTCTAAAAGCAGGTCCATGCCCTGGTCAGAGGCCTCCACGACAGGCTCGTGGCGCGGAAGGCCTCGGCCCCGGGGCGGCCTTTCGTCGGTTTTAGGGTTTGGGGTTTAGGGTTCATAGGAGTCGTATGGGGATTCTTGGAGGATTTCTGATTCTGATGCAGGTTGTAAAGGCCTCTGAAGGGTTTCTTGGGGCCGATGAGGTCTGGGGCTGAAAAGATTAAGGCTTAGGGCTTTGAAGGTTTAGGGGCATGCCAGAAACCCTGCTCGTAAGTCCGAAACCCTCGATCCTAGCCCCCCTAAACCCGAAGCCTTGGGGTTCGCAGTCAGATTTTGAGCTTTCAGCGATCGGGAGTCAAAGGGTTCGGGGTGTCTCGATTTTTCAGGTTCGGGCATCAGGGTTTAGGTTTTAGGATTCGGGCGTCAGGATTATCACGCTTTGATGGTGTTTCCCGTTGAGTTGATCAAGTTGGAACGTGAGGCTTCGTCGTTTTTTCTTTGCGAGGCTTTTGTTTGTAGGGTTAGATGATGTATTTCTAGGGTCTCATACAGGGGTTGTTGAGCTTTCATTTAGGGTCTGTCGTTCGAGGCAGCTTCACAGTCGACAATGATCGTGCACTGCGGGAACGTCAGTGCATGCTGCCTGAACCTGAAGCCCAACCCCTGAACCCGGAACGCAGGTAATCGCTGCGGATTGCCGGAAGCCCAGCTGGCAAGTCGGACGCATCCCAATCAGTGGTTGTCGCATGTTGCATGTTTGCTAGGATGCCCAGTAGTACCCTTATTCCCTTTTTGTAGTCCTAGGTTCCTTATAAAGTTACCCAATACCAAAAAGAGAGGCCTTTTTATTCTTAGGTTACTGGGTATCCTAGTTTGTGTAGACGACAAGCCACCAGCCCTCAGCCGTCTCTGCTCCAAAGCTCGACACGGGCTATACCCTAACTACACCCTTAGCCCACTGTGTACCGAATGCCCCGGCCCCCTAGATTGCAGCTCTGAGGCCAAGTGGTCGGGCCAGCCGAGTCAGCAAAGGCCGTGTTCCTGCGTTCAGAAGCTTGGTCAAGGGTTTAGGGTTTAGGATTCCCCGAACCCCAAACCTGAAACCCTGTTGTCGGAAAACTGCCATACCATAGAAGCCTAAATAACTACCACTATTATTCCTTAGGGTTCCTTACTTAAGTATCCTGTAAAGGAGCCTTAGGGTTTCTTTTTGTAATTATAAATATGCTATAAAGGAGCCCGGGCCCAAAACTCCATTCTAATGATTAAGGCCCCTGCCTTACCCAGAGAGCCCAATACCCCTTAATTAAGGACCAGGAATATACCTAAATTATAATAGGATCCCGAATATGATTTGAGGTATATTCCTCAATTAAGGGGTATCGGAGCCCTAAACCCTAAACCCTATAGATCCCTTATAGATCCCTTAAAGGAACCCTTGGTATTCCTTAATTAAGGGGGTACTTGGAGGCCCTTTTGACTTAGTAAGTCTACTTAGCATCCCCCAGAAACCCCATTATAATCCCCATAACCCACCTTACTAACCCTACTTACTAAGTCAAAAGGGCCT